GTGAGGGTTGAATCACATAATTTTGTTTTTTTAATATTAACTCAATTAAATTCATAATTAAAAAATCAAACAAATTATATATATATGGGTATGTATGTATGTGTGTGTATATATTATCAAGCAAGCAGAGTTGACTAAATTTAAATAATAAAATAAAATTACTTAAAATCTACAATAATTTTCGTGTTGAAAGAAAATCTCAACCGGAGAAATTAATTCTCAAAATTTAAGTCTAATGTTGCAAATATAATATTTTAAGTAATTTAAGATCACCCCGATAATAGTCCTATTGAAAGTAAATCACAATCGGATGGATTAATTCTCAAAAATAAAATCTTCACATTGTAAATATAAATATTTTAAATGACTTCAACACTACAATGATGATGGTCATAATAAAAGTGAATTCAAATCAAACTAGATCTTTTGTCGGCAAACAAGTAAAATTAATAATGTTGAAATAATAAAATAAAATTATTTAAATCCCGAATGATAATTGTGTTAAAGTGAGTCTCAACAAGAGGAGACTCTATCATCAAAATGCATGTGAACTCAGATCGAACCCGATCATCTGCCAACACATTGGCAAAGTTGACAAGGGTTAGATAATAAAATATAAATTATTTAAATCCCTGATGATGACTAAATTAATAGAAAATTTTAATTGGAGTGGACTCTATTATCGAAAAGTCATATGAAATCAAATCGAACTTAATCAAACTCGATCCTCTGTAAGAAAGTGAACAAAATTAACAAGGTTCAAATAGTAAAATAAAAATGGTTAACACCCCGATGATGGCTACATTGATAGAAAATATTAACCAAAGAGGATTACATGATTTTTCAAAATATCCCCAAATTCAAAAATTAATTATTAGGGGTTTAAATTCCAATATATTTTTTAATTCAGCATCTATCAAAATTTAAAATATTTAAAGTGAAATCTAGCTCCTATAACTTAAAGCAAAATTTATATACCTTCTACAACTGTATATCAAGAGCAATTAATTGAAGAATAACCTCAACTCACGAAGAGCAAATATCCAATCAAGAATATCACTAAAATTCATTCTCAAACAATCTCTCGCTAGTAAGAATATGATATGAGCTCTCTAATCAGTAGTTTTGTTGCCAAATGACACCACAAATAAATGGTTATAACTAAGAATCTCTATCAAGGTAATTTTGTCACATATATGCATTATCAAATTATGGACAAGGCTATAGCGTGTATATTCCCCAATAGCCACAACCTTGAATAAAGAATCATATGATATACTTGATAGGGTACAAAGTTTATTAACCATTTTCAATTTTTAAAGTATATGCATTTAATGTTCTAAGAAAAATAAAATGTACATCGAAATATTTAAAAAATGAATAAAATAAGCTCAAGAAATATCATGTAAATGGATAGGTTGACAATGTATAACATGTATAGGTTAGGCAATAAAGTTGAGCCCATATAGAGGCAAAATGATCCTCAAGTTAAAATGAATAAGATAACCTATAGAGGTAGGGCAACAAAGTGAGCCCTTATGAAGGAAAAAACATATTCAATATGTAGTTTTCAAGCTTATGTTAACCAATAAACCTATTTTCACACACATGATATATTCTAAAGCTGAAAGAAGAACTTTTATATTAAGTAATTAAGGAAATTAAAAAAGATTAATATATCAAAACGAAACTTGTATACATGTTTAATATCATATTGCCAATGTTTTATGCTATAACATTTTGTTAACGGTTTTGCTCCCACTTAGATATTTCACATACTATTGAATCAAACATTGTTCATGTACCTTAATTTTAAGGATTACAGAGTATAATTGATTTTTTATAATATTAATTTATGTGTTAGAGTTTTTTATCTAGCTGAGCTTTTAAGCTCAAACAATACTATGTTGAATGCTATTTTAGGAAGTAAAAGACAAAGTAGAACCTGATTGAGGTTCAAATCTTGATCAACTATTCTATATTTTCTTAGTACAATTGATAAAGCATAATCAGTCATATAAATGATGAAAATTTGAAGATATATAAAAGAATTTTGATGTGTATTAAAATCATTGTAGTTAAATAAATGAAAATTTTTAAAAATACTATTGCTCAACTGATTTGTGCTAATTTTTAAATTCTTTCGGAATAGAAATTATAGTATATAAAAATTTAGTAGCATATATCTCTATCGCTTCGTATTCAACCTAGATGTATCTCCGGTTATGGCGGTACTGGTCTCTAGGGTGGCCATGATCTGCTCGGTTATCCTCGTCATAGGGTGAGTGAGGTCGGGAAGGTGTATAGATCGCGGGGTTCCCAATACGCTCTATGTTATCTAACCGATCACTGGTTAATCTCCGAAAATCTGCCAAGTCCGTCTGAGTGTTACGAATTTGCTGCGTGACAGTTCCTAATTGGCCCAAAATGAGGTCTAGGGTAGCTTGGAGGTGCTGCGGATCCATGGGGGACGGCTAGGGGTTGTTTGGGGAAGAGTTGGGGTGGTGGACAGCACCTAGACACTAAGGTAGGACGCTCCTAAGGCTTCTACCTGCTGCAGGAATACTAGGGACAGCAACCTAACACAATGGCGAAAGTTGTCTAAGTGTTTAGGGTGGGTTGTAGCGTGTGGACAGCAACTTAACAAAGGGTTACGGGCACCTAAAAGTCACTAAACAGTGCAGGAAAAGTCCCGGACAGCAAGGTTTTCTAGGGTGT